ATTCATATTCCGCTTGGGAACCCTGCAGCCCAATGGTATCAATGTGGACTTCACAAGCTTCAAAATCTCCCCTCCCCCTACCGCATCCCAAAACCAGCCCAGCTTGTCCCCGCCTCCCTAACCTGTCCTTCCTCTCACCTATCCCCTCCTCCCACCTCAAGCCGCACCCCCATCTCCGACCTACTAACCTCATCCCGCCCCCTTGACCTGTCCGTCCTCCCTGGACTGACCTATCTCCTCCCTACCTCCCCACCTAGACTCACCTTTACTGGCTCCATCCCCGCCTCTTTGACCTGTCCACCTATCTTCTCCTCTATCCATCTTCTATCCGCCTCCCCCTCTCTCCCTATTTATTTCAGAACCCCCTTCCCCTCCCCCATTTCTGAAGAAGTGTCTAGGCCGGAAACGTCAGCTTTCCTGCTCCTCTGATGCTGCTTGGCCTGCTGTGTTCATCCAGCTCTACACCTTGTTATCTCAGATTCTCCAGCATCTGCAGTTCCTACTATCTTAGAGACTAAATGATTTAGGTTTCATTGCTGTTTGTGGGACCCTTTTGTCTGAAAATTGACAGTTGTGATTCCTGTATTATAGTAGTGACTACATTTTAGAAATATTTCATGTTCTGTAATGTATGATGAGATTCCTTGAGACTTATCAAAGGTGGTAAGTAAATGCACATCTTCCTTTTTCTTTTCGTTGTTACTTGGCTGGTAATCTGGCTCCACATGCTCAATTTTCACATCCATATCTATTTCCATGAAGATGTTAAAACAACAGTTCAAAATTAATGTTAAGTACTTCAAAATCAACTAAGATTGTTTACGCCCCAAAAAGCCACTGTGAGTCGCATACTTCAGAACGTGCACAAAATTCTGTTGACAAATCCATTTGTGTGAAGGTGACAAAGAATGAACAACTGAAACACCAAACAATATATGAGATAGCACACAAGGAGTCAGCATTTCAAAGTCAAATTTCTTTTGTACACAAGATCAATTATTGCAAAACAGCGAAGATTCTCTGACATGTATTTAGACATTTTCATAATTCTCCAGGACAATCTGAGGAGATTAAAACCACAACATTTACATTAATATGGAGTTTAGATTCAGACAGCTACCATTCTCCTAAAGTTAGCATTTTTCCAAACCAACTATAAATATATTCACAGAGCTGACTGAGAAAAAGCTTCCCTTGATTAAAGCAGGAAGACTTATGTACACCCTTTCCTGACCATCAGGAAGGAAAATGCATATATCTGACAGGAAGGAAAATGGTTACTATCTAACTGACAGGATATTCATGCAAAATACTATTTCAGAGATAGTAGGAACTGCAGATGCTGGAAAATCTGAGATAACAAGGTGTGGAGCTGGATGAACACAGCAGGCCAAGCAGCATCATAGGAGCAGGAAGGCTGACGTTTCAGGCCTAGACCCTTCATCAGTTATCTTGTACTATTTCAGATCTCATTTTTCTCCAATAATGACCCACCATACAACCTGATCCCTTACAAATGCACTAAGAACATTTCTGATAAACTGGTCAAACTGTCTCCATGATGATTATTCTGTTCTGCTTGTTTCTCAAGTCAGAACATTCATAAGGCACAGTGGTGCTAAAGGTAGCCATTGAGAAAATTAACTTGCATTAATGTGTTGAGCTGCATTTGCTTTTATTAGATAGGTAATCGCAGCAGGTAATTGGTGTTGGGTGAAAACTGAATATGAACCAGAAAAAAAAATGCCCTGCTCTTCTTCTTTCTAGCATGGGATCTTTTGAATCCAAATGAATCAAAGTCTTGGTTTAACATTTCATTGCAAGACAACCTCTTCAGTATTTCCTTAGTACCACACTGAAATGTCAGCCTAGAATATATGCTCTTGTTCCAAATCAACCATAAATTAAAGTAACTTAAACTGATTCTACTTTAAAAAGAAAGCACTTTTGTTGATCCCAAACAGATGCAGTGTAAACAATTCAAAATTGGCCTTTTTTAACTAGAAATTGATAAGTAGGCTTGTTCTATTTACAAGAAAGATGCGGAAGCGTTGGAAATGGTGCAGAGAAGATTTACCAGGATGTTGCCTGGAATGGAGGGAAGGTTTTACGAGGAAAGGTTGAGAGAGCTAGGGCTTGATGAGAGGTGGCTTGATAGAGGTGTATAAAATGATCAGAGGTATATATAGAGTGGACAACCTGAGACTTTTTCCTAGGGTGGAGGTAGCTATTACAAGGGGGCATAGTTTTAAAGTGAGTGGAGGTAGATACAGGGGAGACGTCAGAGGTAGGTTCTTTACTCAGAGAGTGGTCAGGGCTTGGAATGCAATGCCGGAGAGGGTAGTGGAGTCAGCCTCATTAGGGGCATTTAAGCGGCTATTAGATAGGCATATGGATGATAGTTTAAGGTAGGGGTGGAGGTTAGATAGACTTTAGGATTAGGGTAAAAGTTTGGCACAACATTGTGGGCCGAAGGGCCTGTACTGTGCTGTACTGTTCTATGTTCTATGTTCTATTTACAGGCTGCACTTCTGTAATCTTAACTACTTATATACATGAACCCAGGAACTGAATTCAAACGGAAGAGTTCAAACAATTCTTTGCAGTTTCTTCCATGGTATTGGGACTTCTAGAAACTGGGTTGAGATTGCTTAAGCTTATTACTGCAGCACTCTCATCATCAAATGACAGAAATGAAAGCAAGTCTCAAATGCTACTGTATATCCACTACCCTAAAAATCAATGATAGCTCACATGTGAGTTCTATTCTTATGTTCGGTGCACTAATATGTTACTTATTTGGAAATGAGTAAACAGTTCATCAAAGATAAGCAAAAAATAAACAATTTTCTGGCTGCACAGTGAATAGGTCTGATTCAACAAGAATCTTCTTAATCTTTGTAAGATTCACTTTTCAATATTTGTAATTTTCTGTTATAATTATTCATAAGAAGACTAGGTTATAATGAACAAAATTAGTATCATCATATTAACAGTACCAGTACAAGATTGTAATAATCAACTTGAAAGAAAAGTCAGTTGTGAATGTACTAATCAGTACAGTCCTGAATGAGACATGTCTTTTCTGGAAATGCTGTCTTCAGTTGAGACATTAAACTGAAACCTTAAAATAAAACAAAGAAGTGCAAATGATGGAGAACTAAAACAAAATTTGCTGGAGAAATTCTGGAGGTCTGACAGCTATCTGTGGAGTGAAAGCAGAATTAATGTTTCAAGTCCAGTGACCAGAACTGAAAGCAGGAAACGATGGTATTTATGCTGATGATAGGGTGGAGGGAAAGGAGTGAGTGCATAGGTGGAGACAGAGCCCAGAGACAGAGAACAGAAAAAAGGGCAGACAAGGGAATTGTTGATAGTTGGCCAAGGGAGAAGAGAAACTGCTGATAATGAGGGCTATGAATATTTGAAAATGTGTTGGCTGTGTTGAAATCAATCTATTTAATGACAGGACCTGGGCTGTGGGGTAGGTATTAGAAATGCAAAGAGATGTTCATTCTTTGAAAGTTTTCAACTTCATGTTGAGTCTTGAAAGCTGTAAAGTCCCCAAGATGTATTTATGTTCTTCCAGTTTGTATTGAACTGAACTGAAGCCTTAGCTCTCTGTTTTGTTTGTCTTGGTGTCCTGATCAACATTACTCCCACACACCACAGCAAATAGACTGGCTGCTCATTTAAATCATTTGATTTTCTGTGCAACATTTCTTATGCTGTTTGTTCACAGTAATGGCACATATCCGTGAAGTGGATTAAACTCAAATTATTCCTATTTCACTAAGTTTTAAATGCATGACATTCAGCTTTTATTAAATTTAACTGAGAATCTTACAATCATATCTTTGAAATGTTTTTAGAAAATTGTAGCAATTTGTGTCAAGATAATGAAAGAAGAATGAACTGTCAGAGGAAGTGGTAGATGAAGGTACAGTTACAACATTTGAAAGATATTTGGACAGGCACATGAATAGGAAAGGTTTAGAGGGGTACAGGCAAAATGCAGACAAGTGAGACTAGTTTAGTTTGGGAAACCTGGTCGCGCGGATGATTTCAGCTGCAGATTTTTTTATTTATTGTCACATATGTCTGGAAAGATACAGCGTAAAGTGTTTTGTCGCCAAGTTGGACCGAGGGGTCTGTTTCCTTGCTGTATGACTCAATCAAAGAGTTTATGCTCCGAGCACATGCTGGAGAAATACTGAATGTCTCCGAATAGCCGGTGTGTGGCGCCTTTGCACTCTAGTTAAGATTCTCCTCTCAGCCCACTCCCAGTTAATCAGATGATCAGAGGGTAGAAACTCTGTCCTTCTGAACAGTTTGCAGGATGTGAGTTGATCTCTGATCGGGGATCAGCCGCATTGCCAACCGAATTGATTGTTTGCTTCCTCTTCAGGATTTATTTGCATTTCACCGAAGAGTTTACGTCTTTTCGCTTAGAGACGCCTAAAGCAACTCTTTTTGTCCTCCCCCCCCCCCCCCCCCCCACTGGCTGCTGACGAAGTGGGGAATGGATGGGCTGCTTGGAGAGGATATGAAGTTATTGAAACTTTGTGTGGCTTTAATTTGGTTTGGTTTGGTGCATTCGTACAATATTGATTTAGATCATCCAGTCGTGTTTCGGGGTACCAGTGGCACTTTCTTTGGATATTCTGTACTGGAACATTTTCACGACAACACACGGTGGTGAGTAGGACTATAAGTGTCAGAAAACAGCATTTGCTTCGTCTGAAACTCTCCGTTGTCAGCTCCGTGCTTTCACTATCGCTTGTAACGGTATTTACTAATCGGATGAAATTGCAGCCCGTGTCAATGTAATTTCCTTGTAATTGAAAGAGATTTCATTATCGGTGAGATGTTTGGCGATGTTTTTCTGAAGGTGAAACGTGTGCTGACCCAGGATGAGTGCTAATATTGGATTAATAGACGGATTGCCTTATGCTTCACTGAGTTCAGCCAGATTCACGCAATCTCCAACACTTTTCCTTCAGTTCCTTGAAGAAGCGAATTTATCCCGTGTACTGGCAAATTACTCTACTTGGATCCGAAAATGCTTATCTTAAGCAATTTCCTCACTCTTTCTAATGTGATGTATTTTCTGCAGGGTACTGGTTGGAGCCCCACAAGCTAACTCTACTTACAGCTCGTCTATTCTGTCCCCGGGAGCAGTGTATAAATGTCGAATTCACAGTAATCCGGAGAAGAGATGTACAGAGTTAGATCTGGGTCGAGGTTAGTCTTGTTAACTTTTTTTTTGTGGGGGGTGGGATGTGGTGACTTGTTTTCCTTCCTGAATTCCCCACTTTAGATAGAAACTAACCTGAGTTATGCAATGTCTCGTCATTCTGACAGCGGGAGCACGCAGGCAGTATATGTATGAAGCAATTCTGATGCATATCATTGTTGACCCAGCGATATTCACGGTGTAACTTCAGAGAAAGCTTACGAATTCTTTTATAGAAACAAAGCCACTTGTGTTCCCAGAACTAAGTGTCTTGCTGTGTGCGTGGAGAGGTGGAGGAAGGGTTGGTAGGGGGTTAAATTTAACTTAAA